CCGGGACCCGGTGTCCGAACTGTTCACCCTGGACACCGCGACCCCCCCGGTTGGGACGACCCCTCAGGTGGCTGCATCTACCCAGGTTGCTGCTGCCTGCTCCTGTCGCTCGCTCACTCACCCGACACTCGTGGGCACCACCGTTTAGGTCACCTTGCACTCCCACGTCTGCGTCACATGTCACAGCACGGTCTCGTCATAGGTCTCCCAGGGTCGTTCCCCGAGTTTTCCTCCTCTCCAGCACCACCGTGCACGCCTTGTGTCGAGAGCTGGCTCCGCTGTGCCCCTCACTCCTCCTCGTTCCCCCCTACCGCCGCACCGCTACAGACTTTGCACATGGACGTCTGGGGCCCCGCCCCCGTCCATGGGCCGTGGCGAGAGTGCTACTTCCTAGTGCTTGTCGACGACTACGCGCGCTACACCACTGTCTTTCCCCTGGGGCGGAAGGCCGACGTGCTGGACACTCTCATCCCGTGGCTTGTCTCTGCGCGTGTCCGCTGCGGTCTCCCTGTCTTGCGTCTGCACTCCGACCATGGCGGGGAGTTTGCCTCTGGCGTTCTAGGTCGTTTCTGTCGTGCGGAGGGCATCACCCAGACGTTCACCTTGCCGGACTCCCTGCAGCAAAATGGGGTCGCTGAGCGACGCATCGGTTTGGTCATGGAGGTGGCTCGTACCTCCATGATCCATGCCGGTGCACCCCATTTTCTGTGGCCGTTCGCTGTTCGCTACGCAGCTCACCAGCTTAACCTGTGGCCGCACTCCCAGCAGCCTCAGGTTTGGCCGACCTCCTTTGGTCCGGGTCTCCTGGTGACGCGTCTGCGTTCCACGTCTGGGGCAGCCTTGCTCACGTTCGTGCCTCTGGCACGGACAAGCTCACTGCCCGCACCGTCCCCAGTGTCTTCCTTAGTTTCCCCCTCGACTCGTCTGAGTGGCACTTCTACCACCCCCCGTCTCACCGTTTCTTTCACTCTCACGATGTCACCTTTGACGAGTTCGTCTCCTTCTACCATCGCTTCCCCCACCATGGTCCCCCGGTTACCTCCCCCCCTATTCCTGGTTCCCCCTTCCCCGGTGGCCCCTCCCCCTCCCCCTCCCCCTCCCCATCTTGCCCCGTCTGGTGTGTCCCACGTCACCCCCCTCACGTCGGTTGTCCCGATCAAGGATTCTGCTGACTCTGGTGGTCCTGCGGCGCTGTCCTCGCCGCCTGCCCCTCCCCAGGTGTCCCCTCCTTCGCCGCCTCCGCAGCCGTCATCGCCACTACGGTCACAGCCGCCGCCGCCGCCGTTGCAACCGTCACTGTTGCAGCTGTCGCCGCAGTAGTTTGTTGACTCTGGGGGTGCTGGCGTTGGGGTGGGTACTCGTCCTGGGGTTCTTGTCGTGGCTTGTCCCGGCGGGCCTGGGGGTGGTACTGGTGCTCGAGGGGGTTCGGGCTCTGGGGGTGTTCCTTCTGGGGATGCTGGAGTGGAGTGTTCCGGAGGTTGCCGTGGAGCAGCTTGCGGTCCCGGAGTCGGTGCCGTTCCGCCGCAGCAGCAGTCACCGCCGATGTCAGTCCTTCTCCTGCTCGGACTTACGTCCCCTAACCCTGCGTCTGTGCCTCGCATTTCGTCTCCTCCTCTCCCTGTCTACGGCCCTGTGTTCCCTCCCTCGGACTCGACTCCGGCTCGTCTTCCCCCTCGTTCCCCTCCTGTATCCCCTCCTTTGTCTCCTGACCCGACTCCTCCGTCTCACGTCTGGTCTCGCCGTCCCTCCCGTGCTCGCCCCGTCTCCCCTGTCCCGCACTCTCACTTTATGTTGCTTCGTTCCCACGCGTCTCGTCCTACCCTCCTACCGTCGCCTCCTCCATCCTCCATTGTTGTTGCGCCTCCCCCTCTGTCTGACTACCTTCGCGCTGCTCGTCCTCTTGTTCCTCGGGTCCTTACCTTTCGTTACTGGCACGTCTGTTCCGGTCTCGTGTCTTGACGCTCTTGTCACGGCGGTCGCTGACTTTGCCTCTACCCGCCGCCTTGACTACGCCACCGCTCAGGTCTCTGACCCTGCCAGTCCTCCGTCTATCGGGGGTGCTCCTGCCCTCGGCAGTGACGTCCTAGAGGACCGCCAGTACGAGCTTGCTTTCCTGTCCGAGGCTGCTCCCGATCTCTGTTCCATGCTGTTAGTCCCTGAGGGTGACCCAGACGCTTTCGACATCCCGACCCCTCGCACTTACGCTGAGGCGACCTCGGGACCTTGGGCCTCTCATTGGATAGCTGCCATGGAGCACGAGATGGCATCTTGGAGATCCACCGGCACCTACGTCGACGCAGTTCCCCCACCTGGGGTGAACGTAGTCGATGGCCGCTGGCTCTTCAATGTGAAGCGCCCTCCTGGAGAGCCGCCTGTGTTCAAGGCGTGCTACGTGGCTAGAGGGTTTGTCAGCGTGAGGGGGTGGACTTCTTTAAGACTTTCGGCCCGACCCCGAAGATGACTACTCTTCAGGCACTGCTACACGTAGCAGCACAGCATGACTACGAGTTACACTCCCTCGATGTCTCCACTGCATTTCTTCAGGGCAGTCTACACGAGCAGGTCGACTTGCGCGGACCTCAGGGTTTCACTGGTACCTTCCCTCCTTGGAGTCAGTGGCTGCTGCGGCGCCCAGTCTACGGCTTGTGCCTGGCGCCCCGCGAGTGGCACGACATGCTGTGTGCTACCCTTGCAGACCTGCAGTTCTTCTCGTCCTCCGCAGATCCCTCGCTCTTCGTTCGTTCTGGCCAGACTCCGTTCTATATCCTTGTTTACGTAGACGATACGGTCTTTGCCACTGCAGACACGAACGTGCTGGCCTTTGTGAAGGCAGAGCTGCTGAGGAGACACACCTGCATTGACCTAGAAGAGTTGCGCCACTACCTGGGCCTGCAGATCTCTAGAGACAGAGTAGGGCGCACCATCAATCTCACCCAGTCACACTTGGTGCGCCAGGTCCTTCAAAGGTTCGGTCTTTAGTTCTCCTCCGCACAGCCCACACCTCTTCCAGTAGATCACAGGCTCTTTGCTCCAGTCCTTGAGGAGTCAGCAGGGCCCAGTGGTCCTTACGCAAAGCTGGTGGGTTTCCTCATGTACGTGATGGCATGCACTCGTCCACATCTTGCATACCCTCTCAGCATCCTGGCTCGCTTTGTGGCCACAGGCAGACACAGACCTCAGCACTGGTCTGCAGCTAACAGGGTTTTGTGTTATCTTGCGAGTACATCAGGCTTGGGGTTAGTGCTGGGAGGACGCAGGCCAGTGGTCCTGAATGGGCACACAGACGCTTCTTGGGCAGACGACGCCAAGACCCTTAGGTCCTCACAGGGCTACTGCTTTAGTGTTGGCTCTGGTGCTGTCTCGTGGAGAGCTACTCGCTCTTCGTCAGTTGCCCAGTCCAGCTCTGAGGCTGAGATCTACGCCGGTGCCATGGTGGCATAGGAGCTCTGCTGGCTGACCTTCTTGCTTACTGACTTAGGTGAGCGGCCTAGCTCTGCCCCGGTCCTGTACGCTGACAACAGGGCCATGATCCTCCTGTGTCATGAGCCTCGACTTGAGGGCAGAGCGAAGCACATCCAGCTGCGGTACTTTCTCGTGCGCGAACTACAGCAGCGTCGCGAGGCTCGTGTAGTACACTTGGCCTCCGGTGCCAACTCAGCTGATATCTTTATGAAGGCGCTTGCGCCTAAAGATCATCAACGGCACTGCTTACACTTGGTCTTGTTCCTGTTGCCTCGCACTTGCTAGGAACTTGATTGTGTACAGATATTATACATATATATTACCCATACTGGCCTTGTGGCTTCTCCTAGTGGTTGGACTAGTAGTGTCGCCCTGGCCTTGCTCTTGTGTTGTCTGTACTCCTATTGACTGGTCTTTAGACCCTTGCCTCAGAGGTTGGACTAGTAGTGGCGCCTTGAGCTGCTTGTTCTCGTATTAGGCACTGCCCCTATATAGTCTAGGGGTTGTGTCAAACTTATCTTAGTATGTTACTGTAGACTATACAGGTTTGTGCCTTAGAGGGTACAACTCCCTAGCTTATACTACCTTGTACTCTCCTATTCTTACTATTTATTCAGTTCTGAGAGTACGGTGGGAAACGTGGCTCAGGAAATATGGCAAGAAGCGCACCACTTGTCGCCCAGCCCCCTCTGCCTATAAGCTGCACCAAGTGGGCCCAACTTGGACCGAGGTTCACTACTCCGGAAAAAACGAGGCTGGGCCGCGATTGGTCGAAATGCTAACTTCGCAAATCTGTGGTCGTAAAATCTATCGCAATTGCGAAATGTGGCAAGCGCAATTCGATTTCGTGGCCTACGGCTTGGTAAAAAACGCGGGCTACTGCCCGCCCCTCTAAAAACATATTCACTTATGGGTCGTTTCTAGTTGGGCCCAACTAGAAATTGGGGTCACTATTATAAACTCTCGCTTTAAGCATTGCGGGTCGCGCTAGACTCTGTAACGAAAGTATGTGTTTCGAATCAAAATCGTGTTTTCGTGTTTTTCCACTATAAGATGTCCAATCAACTTAATTTGGGTATTTTACCCATTTTTCGCTCGAACTGCGCTGGAGGTCGGGAGAAATATCGTGCCAGCCACAATGATGACGATATTGGGCTGTTACGAACGGGAAAACGGTCCGAGACGGGCGGGGGTTACTTCTACTGACCATTCGTGGAACGTTTTTCGTGCAGAAGAAACCGAAGGTGTAAGGAATGCGTAATTCCTTACTGAGGCTTGCTACAGGCTGTACGACTCGAACAGTCCTGAACCATCGCCAGGGTTCCAGACCTATCAGTTCGAGCCTCCTGGGCCTTTCCGGACCTCGCTACGACACATCGAGGCCCTTCGACATTTTTCCCGAACCTTCCGATCCTACGTCCAGGATCACCCTAGGCTTTCTATATATTGTATTGTCTTTCATTTTATTGTCATTCACTCGTTCACAGTTTCGCCATTGCCCTCCGCGCTACTCGGCAGTCCCATTCATAACATCGGACGTGCCTGTCCCTGAGTCCCCAAAATGGCTCGTCGCATCATCTGGGTTACCCTATTGTTTCGCAAAGCTGGTCGAATTCATCAAGCCCAGTCGTGCTTGCACCGGTCAGTGCTACGAGCATAAAATCAGGGCTTGTTGCCATGCCAGCTGCTCCTCCCTTGCAGTCAACAACGTTGGCTATGGATTCCTGCCTCCCTCTGCTCGCTGATTCTCTCTCCCTCCGCTGCTCCCCCGCTGTTTGCTCCGCTGCTCGCCTCTCACCATGGCGCGGGACGCCGATCGGCTCGCCGCGAGCGCCGCTGCGTCCGAATCCTGCACGTCGAGCGCGGATTTCGCCGATCTTCCCGCACCCTCGTTCATAGTAGCTGCCTCGGCTCCCTCGGATTCGCGAGATAATGCGACATCACGCCATCTTTCCACTGCCACCGATTCGGCTCATGAGGCCGAAATAAGTCACCTTCCCGAGTCATCCGACCGTGATTCAGGGCCCACTTGCGCTGCTGCTGTTTTACCGGACGAATCAGGCCCTTTGGACGCGTTATCGGAGCTGGACTCGTGCGACCTTATATCGGGTCCGCACTCGGCGCATCGCCAGCCGCGGCAGCCGCGCAAGCGCGGCGATGACGGCAAGCTGCTCATGTCGTGGCGCGCTCCGGACTGGACGCTCCCGCCGCTAACGGCGGACTTAAATCTCTCCCCCGTCGAGCCGCTGGAGCGCCTCGAGTCGCGCACGCAGTGCCCGGGGTGCGGCAAGTCGCAGCACTACCTCTGCTTCAACTGCCTCCGGGTAGGGCGGCGTGGGTTGCGGGAGAGAGAGAGAGCGGGAGGGAGCAGGAGGGAGTGGGAGGGAGCGATAGGAGGGGCATGGTTTGATGAAGCGTGGTACTACGCTGCTGTGCGAATTCTCAACTCCCTCCCCCACCCTCGCGCGTGTGCACGCCGCAGCAAAACCACCGCCTCTCGCTCCGTCCGTACCCCAACCCGCAGACCTCCCCCCTGATACCTTTCAAAACCCTGTCCCCTGTCCCCTGTCCCCGCTCCCCGCCCTCTCCAGGCCTTCACCCCACCCAGCGTCACTCCCCGCCTCGCCCTCCCCTTCCACGCGCACATTGTCTTCCACCGCACAGAGCGGCCCAGCATGAGCACGGGCGTGCACGCCGCAGTCCTGGCGCCCGCACACGTGACGCTGCACCGGTGGGCGGACATAGAGGCGGGGGGTCTGCCGAGGTTCGATCCGGCGGACACGGTGGTGCTGTTTCCGAGTGGGGATGCGCGGGAGGTGGGGGATATGGGGGCGGAGGAGCGGCGGCGAGTGAAGCGAGTGGTGCTTCTGGAGAGCAAGGTGGGGGGAGGGGAGAGAGGGAGAGGAGGTGAGGGAATCTGGAGCAGGGGTGGTAGGGAGAACAGGGGGCGGGATTGGTGGGAGGTGGGATTTTCTCTTAGAACTGGATGTGTGTGGCTGGCAGGGTTGGAGGGTGATTAGTTGAGTGTGTGTGGGAGTGCATAACACTGTAAGTTTGTGTGTGGGTGAGGCACGAGGGACTGGGTATGGCATTTGCCAGCTTTTTCACTTGTTCCCTGCTTATCTCTCTCCTCCGTTTCCCCTTCTGTCTTCCCCATGCAACCCATGCACCCCATGCACCCCATGCACCCCATGCACCCCATGCACCCCATGCACCCCATGCACCCCATGCACCCCATGCACCCCATGCACCCCATGCACCCCATGCACCCCATGCACCCCATGCACCCCATGCACCCCATGCACCCCATGCACCCCATGCACCCCATGCACCCCATGCACCCCATGCACCCCATGCACCCCATGCACCCCATGCACCCCATGCACCCCATGCACCCCATGCACCCCATGCACATCCATCTCCCTGCTGCTCCCCTGCCTCACCCCACACTCACCTCCCCACTCAAACACCCCCCCACTTCCCCCCCCCCCACCACCCCTCCCCCCCTTGCACTCACTCACATCACATCCTCGTCTCTCTCCCCCTCCCCCACCTCTTCCCCCTCCCACCATCAACAGTGGAAGGGTGCTCCAGCACTGCTCTCGCTCCGCCAGCTGTCCTCTCTCCCGCACATCCGTCTGCCGGGGTGCATCCGCTCCGCCTTCTGGCGCTACCACACGCGTGGCGTGGCACCTGATGCTGTTAGCACCGTGGAAGCGCTCATGTGGCTCTGCCGCTGCTGGCACGCACGCGCAGGGGAGGGGAGCGTGGCCAAGGGGGAGGGGGAGGGGGAGGAAGAGAGGACGGGGTGCATGGTAGAGGGTTTGATGGGATGGGGAGATGAGAAGGGGGGGGCAGGGAGGGGGAGGGAGAGTGGACAAGAATGGGAGGGGGGGGGGCACATGGGGGTGAGGCGGGGAGGGGAGAGCGTTGCGGAGAGGCATGGGGGGACCATGGGGCAGAGAGAAACAGATGGTGAAGGAGAGAAGGACAGGGAGAGAGATGGTGCAGGCGACATTACGAAGGGGGCAATGCACGGTGGGGTTGGGGGAAGGGTTGAGAGGGGAGCAGCAGGCACTGTCAAGAGGGTCACGAATGGCAATGCAATGGCTGGATGTGCAGAACTGACAGCAAGCGGTGCAAGCATTGAATCCAGCACATGCTTGGTGGGCAGCAGCAGCTCACTGCATACTGATGCTTCGCCGTGTACTGTGGCTGTGAATGGGGCTTCATCCGGCAGTGGCCATGGCCATGCCGCTGCTTGTGCTGCCTCGAGTGGTAGTGCAGCAGCAGTGTGTGGTGTGGGAGTAGGGGATGGGGCTGTAGAGAGGCGGCCCAGTGACTGCCACTGCTTTGACGACCTGCTCTGGTTCTTCGCTCACTTCCACCACCGCATTGCCCAGGATGCCTGATGTCTCTAGATGGAACGGCATGGGAAGGTGTGGCCCAAGGCATCTGCTTAGCAGGTCGGGTGATGTCTTGTGATGTGGCATTGTTCCGGCAATGCATTGCATGGGACATAGCCTCTCGCATGGCGTGGTAGGTAGTTCCTGTAGTGCTGCTGTCACGCAGGCGTAGAAGCTGACCTGGAAGGAATCGCTTTCCATGAGACTCAAAATGCGGTACAGGTAGTGTGTACAAACATGCTGAAAGGTTTCAGAACGTACCCACATGATGTGCCCACCCACACACATGCTGAAGGGTTTTTGCCATACTGCAAGAAAATTCACTGAAAGCGACATGGATGCTAGATCTATTCAGTCAAGCACAAATGGAAATTCCATAGACAGACACCCCCCTCGCATGTGGGAGGGTTCCAGCCAGTCCAGTTGTAGAACCCTTCCCCTTCCCCCTCCCCTAAACGTCAAACAGCACCCCCCTGTCCCCTAGCACATCCATGCATACCCTGTCACTCTGTGAGGCTGTGACCCCAGGCTCCTCAACCCTCACACCATGACAGCCAGTAGCCACTCATCCCACCCACACCCACATCCTGCCAATCATCTGCCTGTACACCCCAACGCCACACTATTGCCCGCCCTGCTCCCTGCTGCACCCAGCTCCCTCCACTCCAGTGCTCCCAAGAATCGGCCCTGTCCTGCTTGCTCCCTCCCTGCTCGCCTGCCCTGGAACATTGCCTTCAAAAACTGGCAACCCGGCCACCCCGCATCAACAACAGTACCCAGTCTCACAGCTTGGCGGTTTCAACATTCAAATCTCTCCCCCAACTTTCAGCTTGCCAGCTTGGCAGAATCACTACCCACTCTCACAGCCTGGCAGTCTGCCCTCCCCATGCGCCCGCCCCCCTCTGCGCGCCCTGCTGGCGGCGGCTCTCGTTGGCCTCTGCCACGTGGCTGGCGCGCTGCGTGGGCGGCATGTACAGGTACAGCTGGGACGGCTCCGCTGTGCGCACCTCGTACTCCGCACTGCGCTGCTCCTCCCTCTCCTTCTCCTCCTTCTCCCCGCCTGTCCTCACTCCTTCACCAAACCTTAACCCGCTGCTGCCGCCAACGCCAACGCCGCTGCTGCTTGTGCTGCTCTTGTCTTTCTCAGCATAAGAACAGCCACAGCCGCCGCTGGGGGTGCTGCTACTACTGCCGCTGCTTCGGGTTGCGGCTCCCCTTCCCGCGTCCCCTTCGCTGCCGTGCGTCTCCCGCTGCCACGCGATGGACCCCTCGGCCTGCTCGTCTGGGTCGCCGATGGCCTGCACGTGCACGGCCGCGGCGCCGCGCGTGCTCACCACGCGCTCGTACCGCTCGTCCGGAGGCGCGTAGAGCGTCAGCTGGGTCTTGGTGGCGGGCGCTGTCGCGACATCGCTATATGGGGCCGCCATGGTGGATTATTAACGCGCAGAAAGGAGCCGGTTTCTCCAAAAAGAGAAAAGCGGCTCGAAAATTGGTAGTATAGGCACTACTTGCAGGCTAGCAGAGGCTAGCAGGCGGTTGCCGACGAAGAATTGCTGCCTTTAGTCAACGGTTTGACAGGAATGTGGCGCACTAGGGATGTGAGAATTCTCAAAAACGCACTCCGGGGGGAGCCGAAGCTGGCGGATTCTCGTCTCCTCGTCCTTGTCTGCTTCCAGAGTGCCGTCGAAGGAGACTGCTTCCAGCCCAGGGCACCCTCGTCCCTCCGCATGCCATCCCAAGATTGTAGGAACATGGCGGCATGTCCTTTCGGCTTCTTGCCACACCTTCGACTCGACATCCACGCGAAGATTTCTTGACAGGAGTGTCATGATTCGCATAGCAGCAGCAGATCTTCGACGAGGGGTGCGCTGCGCAGCGTGGTAAGCTGCATGGAGGTTGGATATGTCCCTACCTCGTGGATGTGGACGGCTGAACGCGTGGCTGCTTGATGGAAGCTGTTACGATGTCTTCGTTATTGAACACCTCGTTCTATGACGGGATTGAGCTCATAGGCAAATTTCACAAAAAGTTTGATATACACCTCAATAGCCAATTAAAAAACGAATTAAATCCAATCAGCCGGGCTATGTCGCTTTCACGATACGTGCTTATTGCGGAGTCCTTTAGCGAAGCTCCCGCCTTGCCTTCTGTTGTCGTCCTCACGCCAGCCCGCCCTTCTCCTCGCTGCCGTCACCGACACACCTGCGGTACAGACCATCCACGAGAAGCCACCCCGCCAGACGAATCCATTCCAGGGTGTCGCTTGTTCCATCGCCCGTTATAGTATAGCTTCGCCGGGAGTCGCACTTCGTCGCACGGCATGGCGGGTGACGGGTTCTCGCACGACGACCTCGCTCTCGCGATCGCCCTCTCGCTCGCTGACTCGGATCCCAGGGTCCGACTTGCGCTCGAGGACCCTAACAGACTAGCGCAGAGAACCGCTGCGGAAAGGGGATGCGCGGAGAACTCCGCGCAAGAGCGCAGGAATCGGCGCAGCTTTGCCGCCGGAAGCGACCCCACTGGTAGCAGCAGAGGCGCGGCGGGGGCGGAAGGGTCCAGTGTGGCGGAGCTGCGCGGAGGGAGTGGAGAGGCGGAGCCCACGTGGGAGCGGAACCCGCAGACGCGGTGGGCGGAGGGCAAGGGGAAGCGGGCGGATGCGGAACATGGGGCGGTAGATGACGTGGATGTGCGGCGAGAGGTGATAGCGATCGATGACGACGACGCGGAGGGGGAGGAGGAGGGCTGGTCGCGTAAGGCGGAGGGACAGTGTGGTGTGCGCGTGGGCTGTAGGGTATCGAGCAGCCAGCGGGGTCGGGTTGTAGGGCATCGGGATTAGGCGGGCGGGTGACTATACGAGGAGTGCATGGGGTAGCGAGCAGCGAGCAGCGAGCAGCGAGGGGGGGAAACGGGTATGCCAAGAGAGGAGATGGAGGAGGTTGAAAGATGAAGGGAACGATTATCTACGTGTAGCCGCTTCCGGCGGGCTGTAGTCTGCAGACACCCTCGCAGCATGCAAGGCCCTCTCACTCTCTTACTACGCGTCTTGCCACCTGACAGTCTGACAGACACCTCCCCACGTGCTCGTCTCAATTTCTCTCTGGCGACTTGTCTCCGGTCGACCCATTTGACATGTCCCAGCCCAATGCAGCTTTCATGCTGCTTCTTGCGCTATACCAACCTACATTCCCCCTCTATTGTTACCTTCCCCCCCCTCACGCACTCCCCCACCCCCACTTCCTCCCTGCCCTTCCCTATCCCGTCCATCCCCGCTACAGTACCACTCGCTGTAGTTCCGCCGCCACCTGACCCTGACCTGCTGGACCCATGCCCCGATATAGTGGCTCTCTTTTGTCACTATAACGAGCTCTACTTCCAGGGGAAGCTGGGGGCCTGCCTGGTCGAGTGGAGCTCCAAGCGAATGACTCTGTAAGGGGGATGCTGAGGTGGTGGTTGGTAGGTACGGAATGGAACAGAAGGGATCCGTGGTGGGCCAAAAGTGCAAGTTGCGGGGTTGTTGGGTTGGGTTGGGTTGGGATGAGTGGATTGAGGGGTGCGAGGAGTGGGCAGATTGTTTACAGTCTGATGAGTAGGTGCAAATCGCAATGGTAATTCAGCAGCGGCAGTAGTTGGCATTCACTTGAGCTGCCGTCGCCTGGATCCGCTCCTCAGGTTCTTGCCCACCCAATCTTCCGCTCCTGCCTCTGCTCCCCATGTCCTTATCTGAACGGATAATTCCTTCTTCTCCTCTCTTCGCTCCCCTCTCCCTCACCCGTACTGCCCCCCTGCTGTCAGCCAGCCCCTCCATGCCCCCGCATTCCCATTGGCTGTCAGTCAGCCCGCCCTATCCCCTGCCTCTCCCCCACTGTTGTGTGGCGGTGTGCATGTGTGGCCGTTCTCTGTGCGGGTGGGAGTGGCCTCTCGGACCCATTGCTTACTCACCATCCGTTCTCCTCAACCATTCTCCTTCCCTCCCTTCTCGGCCCCCTCGCTCCCCACCCCACCCCCCCCCCCCACAGCTGTGCGGGCGTGTGCATGTTCGACGGCGCGCTGTGCCGCATCCGGCTGTCGGGCCCGCTGCTGCAGTACCGCCCAGTGGCGGACCTCAAGGCCACTCTGCTGCACGAGATGATCCACGCCTTCATCTTCCTCTGCCGCCCTCGCCACTCCCGAGAGTGCGACAGGGGGGGGGAGGGGAGGGGAGGGGAGGGACAAGAGTTGCATGCTGGTAGAAATGATCCAAGCCTTCATCTTCCTCTGCCGCCCCTTGCACTCCCAAGAGTGGGACACAAGAGGGGTGGGGGTTGGGGTGGAAAGGGGTGGTGTGGGGTGGGATGGGAAGGGAGAGGTGTGCGCAGGCAGGGAGGTGTTGTCGAGAGGTGTCATGCAGTGGCTGATCGTTGCACCACGCCCATCGTCTCCTTAGTCCATATCATACGTTTCAATCGTTTGTAGCTTGTGCCCTCTCTCACTCTCCTCTCCCTTTCCCTCCTCCTCTCCCTCCTCCTCTCCCTCCCCCTCTCCCTCTCCCTCCCCTTCTCCCTCCCCTTCTCCCTCTCCCTCTCCCTCCCCCTCCCCCCTCTCCCTCCCCCTCTCCCTACCCCTCTCCCTCTCCCTCCCCCTCCCCTCCCCCTCTCCCTCCCCCTCTCCCTACCCCTCTCCCTCTCCCTCCTCCCTCCCCCTCCCCCTCCCCCTCGCCCGCTCCCTGCGCCGCATGGCAGCGACCACGGGCCCATGTTCCAGTCCATCATGGGCGCCATCAACACCAGCGCGGCACCCGACCATCAGGTACCACATGGTTAGAGGGAACAGCGGTCTGTGAGCGAGTGGGTGCGTGGCTGTAAGGTCGGACCTGCTCTGGGCTTGTGTTTGCTGCTGGTCGTGTTGATGTCTCTTCGCCACACCTCTTCTCCACACCTCTTCGCCACACCACTTCGCCACACCTTTTCGCCACACCTCTTCGCCACACCTCTTCGCCTCACCTCTTCGCCACACCTCTTCGCCACACCTCTTCGCCACACCTCTTCGCCACACCTCTTCGCCACACCTCTTCGCCACACCTCTTCGCCACACCTCTTCGCCACACCTCTTCGCCACACCTCTTCGCCACACCTCTTCGCCACACCTCTTTGCCCCACCTCTTCTCCACACCTCTTCGCCACACCTCTTCGCCACACCACTTCGCCACACCTTTTCGCCACACCTCTTCGCCACACCTCTTCGCCACACCTCTTCTCCACACCTCTTCGCCACACCTCTTCGCCACACCACTTCGCCACACCTTTTCGCCACACCTCTTCGCCACACCTCTTCGCCACACCTCTTCGCCACACCTCTTCGCTACACCTCTTCGCCACACCTCTTCGCCACACCTCTTCGCCACACCTCTTCGCCACACCTCTTCGCCACACCTCTTCGCCACACCTCTTCGCCACCCCTCTTCGCCACACCTCTTCGCCATACCTCTTCGCCACACCTCTTCGCCACACCTCTTCGCCACACCTCTTCGCCACACCTCTTCGTCACACCTCTTCGCCACACCTCTTCGCCACACCTCTTCGTCACACCTCTTCGCCACACCTCTTCGCCACACCTCTTCGCCACACCTCTTCGCCACACCTCTTCGCCACACCTCTTCGCCACACCTCTTCGCCACACCTCTGCGCCACACCTCTTCGCCACACCTCTTCGCCACACCTCTTCGCCACACCTCTTCGCCACACCTCTTCGCCACACCTCTTCGCCACACCCGCGCAACCTTCTTCTCCCCTGCTTCCCGACCCGCCTCGCTCCCCCATCCTCGTCTCACATCTGCATCGAAAGAAAACCCCTCATGTGTGTGTCGTCCGCCAATGCTTTCCTTCCTCTTCTGTCCCCTCTTTACCCACTATCTCAGCGGCCCCCCCAGGGCTACCAGATCTCCATCTACCACTCGTTTAAGGATGAAGTGAACGTGCACAGGCGGCACGTGTGGCAGGTGCGGTGCATGGGGGGAGCGGTGGGTGGTGCGTCAGGCTGCTGATTGCTGGGATGTGGAAGAGAGGGTGTGAAATGCGGTGACAGGCCTGGGAAGCTTGACACTGATGTTACACTCTTTTCCTCTCTTCTCTCTTTCCGTTTGTTGTCCTCCCATGCGGAGTGAAGCCTATGTGCCTGTCCCTCTTGCGGTGAATGGCCTTTCCATGCTTCATTCTTGCTGCTCCACTTCTTGCCTTACCTCTCACACTCCTTTTCCTCCCTGTCGCACTCCTTCCCCCCCCCCGCTCCCTCTCTTCACTCCCTCCCTCTCCCACCCCCAACTCTCAACCATCCTCCGTACTCCCCTCCACTTCCCTCATCCCCATTGTCTTCTTCACTCGACTTCACTCATCTTCATTCCTCTTCTCCCATGGTCCTTGTCCCGTGCCATGGCAGTGCGGCAGGTGTGGTGAGGAGGTGCGGCGGGCCATGAACCGCCCGCCCTCCGTAGCGGACTGCATGGCGCTCAGACAGCCGTACACGGGGGAGGGGGGGAGAGAACAGGGGGGAGGGCAGGGGGGAAGAGACCAAGGGGGGAGAGGGCAGGGGGGAGAGGGCAGGGGGGGAGAGGGCAGGGGGGAAGAGAGCAGGGGGGAGAGGGCAGGAGGAGAGAGGTCAAGGGAGGGGGCAGTGGGAGAGAGGGAGAGGCCAGTTCGGGGGAATAACGGCAGAGGAGAAAGAGAAGGAGAGGCAGAGGCGCATTACGACGTGTCGGCACCCGCGGTGTAACTGGCATCTGTAAGGCAGCACCGCTGGGGGATTGGAGGAGGTGGAGAGGAGACCTGTGAGGGGGGAAGTGGGGACATGTTTTGAGCTGACTCATAGTCCATGCTGCTTGTGCGCCTGTTAGCGAGGTGTGGAGGGAGGGTGGGAGGCAGGGTGAGCAGAAGGAAGGAGCTGAGGGTTATGTGCAATGGACGGTGAGATGCAAGGAAGTTTGGGAGGTGGTAGAGGTGGTTGCGTTAGGTTTATGTGCATTCGTGGGTCACTTGTGAGTCTTCTTCCCCCCCACCCTCCCCACTCCCCCCCTTTCCATTCCCCCGTCTCTTCTTTGGTCTGTTCTCTTTCTACCATTTCCTTGCCCATCTCTGGTAACACTCGATCCACCCTTCCCCCATTCATTCTCTCTTTTCCCTCCCATCCTTCCACAAGCACCCATCTGAGCCCCAGCCAGCCAGCCCCACAGGAATAGGCACAAGGGCCTCTGTTGGTACCACCTCTTTGGTGAAAGTGATTTTCCCCCGTTTGTCCCGCCTCCCCCCCCACCCCACCTCCCCTCCCCCCCTGCACACACACACTTGCGTTCAGGCATGGCCGCATGTGTGGAGGTGCGTTTGTTAAGGTTGCAGGGTCAGAGGACAGCGGGCAGGGGAAAGCAGGTCGTGGCAAGCGGGGAAGAGCGGAGGAGACGGCAGGGGAGCAGGTTGCTCCGGCTGCTGCTGGTGGTGCTAGTGGCGGTAGTGGGAGCAAGAAAGGGAATGCCAGTGGTAGTGGGAACCGACGGATTGAGGATTTTTTTAGAAGACCAGTGGTGGATGGGAAAGGGAAGGCCAAAAAATAGGTAACGGTTATCTTGCGTACCCTGTAGTCTGCAGTGCTATGTACAAACAACCTCCACAACAGGCCCCCAGTTTTCAGGCCATTTACCCTGATTCAGGGTTTTTCCAGGGATTTTCCCGGTACCAGCCCTGAATGTCCATAATTTTTTCAAACCCAACCCTGAAATTTCAGGGTTTTCTGTGTAATGTACCCTCCTGATGCCCCAGCGTTGCTCCAGGGGGTATACCCTGAATCTGGCAATACCGATACCGTGGAAGGGGCGCGTGCTGCCTACATTTCTGAGGTTTTGTGTGCTGCCTTCCCCTGAGGCTGTGTGAGGGCGCTGGCTCGACATATGCTGAGGGCTGTGTGAGGGCAATTGTTGGCCCTTGGGGCCCGATTTGTGTGCCTTGCAGCTTTGTGAGGGCGGGATTCCCCTCCGCCCCTGCAATTCCTCTTCCCCCCCCACCCCCCCCCTCCCTCCCTCCCCCCAACACGCACACACCCACTCCCACACACCCTCACACCCACACACACATACACAAAATTGGTTTCTTGTACAGTATGCCGAACACTCCCCACGCGCAATTTCACGACAGGCAATTTGTGTCAACTTATACATATGCATTGTATGTAGAAGTTATAGGCTAGACAGGGTTGCGTTCTTAGAGGGTACAACCCAACCCTATATCCCACCTTTACTGCATTGTTTCTAGTTCAGTTGAACTAGGTCCTCCCACCCACCCACGCTTCCGGCCTAGCCTACCGTAGCGCGCGCCGTCCAAGTCCGCTGCGCCGCCCTAGTCTCGTCGTGCTGCCCTAGCCGGCTCCGCTGGCCCCGTCCCGCCGTGCTGTCCAAGCACGCAGCGCAAGCCCCGTCGTGCCATGCTGCCCTCACTCGCCGTGCGGGCCCTATCCCGCCGCGCCGCCGCAGCCCGCTGCGCCGGCCCCGTTCTGCCGCGCTGCCCTAGTTCGCTGCAGTGGCCCTGTTCACCGCGCTGCCCTAGTCTGCTGTGGTGGCCCCGTTCCGCCATGCTGGCCATGTCTCGCCGCGCATGCCCTGTCTCGCCGCGCTGTCCTTGCTCGTCGCACCGGCCCCAGCTAGACTCCGGCCCCCAGCGCGCCGCCGGCCCCAACTCGCCGCGCCGCCCCAGCTTGCCGCCAGTCCCAGCTCACCGTGCCACCTCAGCTCGACGCCGGCCCCAGCTCGCCGCCGGCCCTGCCCGCTGTGCCGCCTCAGCTCGCCACCCGCCCCAGCTCGCTGTGCTGCTCAACTCACCACCGGCCCCAGCCCTCCGTGCCGCCCCAACTCACCTTGCCAGCCCTTCTACGCCGCCGGCCCTGGTTCCACTCTGAGCCGGCGCCTCGGCCAGCTGTCTCCTCTGTCGCGACTTCACCACGCCCCACTGCACACCACTGCACTCCACCACACTCCACCGCTCTCCACTGCTCTCCACCGCGCTCCACCACACTTCACCGCTCTTCACTATACCCGCCTGCCCCCTGCTCCTCCTCCTCTTGCGGCCCTCAGCTGCTGCAGCTGTGGTGATGGCGGACACTGCGCTCCGCCTGGACATGGAGGGTCGAGCGGTTGACTTTGAGGCATGGCTCGCCGACCTCCGTTGCCAGCTAAAGGGTCAGCATCAGGACGGCCAGTCCCTGGCCGTCCATATCGACGGTAAGCTCCCCTGCCCCGACCTGCCTGCTGCCCTCCCTGACGCCCCCACGCCTGCTGAGCGTGAGGCTTTCACAGTTGCTGAGCTCGCCCGCTCTGTCTGGGAGTCGCGTGACGCTATTTTGCAGCTTGCTATCAGTCACGCCCTTCCCCCTGTCCCAGCGTCCCAGCTTTCACGCCGTAGAGACTGCGAAAGGAGTTTCTAGATGCAGTCATTGCTCTCTATTCCACTCCCTCCTCCGCCTCTGCTGGCTGTCTCCTCCTATCCATGCTCTTCCCTCATCTTGCGTTTTTCCCCACTGTCACTGATCTCACCACTCACCTGCGCGCTCTTGAGACTAGCTACCGCGCTGCTAGCACTGAGGCACAGCTCACTGTAATGCCTCCCCCACTGGGTGCTACCCTTTATTTCCTTACCACAAGCCTCCTCGACCGCCTAGCCATTTCTTCCGTCGCCTCCTCAGTCGTCCCTCGATGTCTCCCCACCTCCCTTCTCTGAATTTCTCTGTGTTGCTCGCCCTCTTGATCCTCGTCTCCTCGCCTCTCTTGTTACCGACCCATTGGTTCTTCTCTCCAGTCTCGACGCTCTTGTCGCTGCCCTTGCTGACTTTGCCTCTACCTGCCACCTTGACTACGCCACGACTCTGGTCTCTGACCCTACCCGTCCTCCGTCCGCCGCGGGTGCACATGCCCTTGGCAGTGACATCCTAGAGGACCGACAATACGAGCTAGCTGTCCTGTCCGATGCCGTTCTTCATCGCTGCTCCATGCTGCTAGCCCTTGAGGGTGACACAGACACCCTTGACATCCCGACCCCTCGCATCTATGGTGAGGCGACTTCGAGACTTTGGGCCTCTCTGTGGATAGCTGCCATGGACGCAGAGATGGCATCTTGAAGATGCACCGGCACCTACGTCGACGCAGTTCCCCCACCTGGGGCGAACGTAGTCGATTGCCGGTGGCTCTTCGAGGTGAAGTGCCCTCCTGGAGAGCCGCCGTTGTTCAAGGCGGGCTATGTTGCTAGAGGGTTCAATCAGCGCGAGGGTGTTGACTTTTTTTGGACCTTCACCCCGACCTCGAAGATGACCACTCTTAGGGTGTTGCTTCACGTAGCAGCACAGCGCGACTACGAGTTTCAGTTATCGGACTTCTCCATAGTGTTTCTCCAGGGCACTGTGCACGAGCAGTTCTACCTGTGCCGCCCGCTAGGCTTCTCTGGCACTTTCCCTCCTGGGACCGAGTGGTTCCTCCCGCGCCCAGTTTACGGTCTGCGGCAGGCGCCTCACGAGTGGCACCACAAGCTGCGTGCTGCACTAGCAGACCTTCAGTTCTTTCCGTCCTCTGCTAACATGTCTATCTTAGTTCGCTCAGGCCAGAATTTGTTCTACATACTAGTTTACGTAGATGAACTGGTCTTCGCTATTGCAGACAGAGACACACTGGCCTCGGTGAAGGCCGAGTTGCTAAGGAGACACACCTGCACTGACCTAGGAGAGTTGCGTTGCTACCTTTCGCTGCAGATCTCCAGGGATAGAGCAGCGTCGACCATCAATCTCACACAGTCACACTTGGTGCACCAGGTCTTTCAGAGGTTTGGTCTTCAGTTCTCCTCCGCACAGCCTACACCTTTGCCAGTGGATCACAGGCTCTCGGCTCCAGACCCTGACGAGTTCATAGTTTAACTATGAGGCTGAGATCTACGCTGGTGCCATGGTGGCACAGGAGCTCCGCTGGCTAATGTTCTTGCTCACAGACTTAGGTGAGCGGCCTAGCTCTGCCCCGGTCCTGTACGCTGACAACAAGGCCATGATCCTCCTGTATCAGGAGCCTCGGCTAGAGGGCAGAGCGAAGCACATCCAGCTGCGGTATTTCCTGCTGCACGAGCTACAGCAGGGCGGCCACGCATACGTCGTACACTTAGCCTCCGGTGCCAACATAGCTGGTATCTTTACAAAGGCGCTTTCGAGTAGAGATCATCAGCGGCACTCCGTATAGCTTGGGTTAGTTCCAGTAGCTCCTCACTTGCTAGGACCCTGATTGTGTATTATCTTGACTGGCCTTGTGGCTCTTGTCCTAATGGCACGACTAGTAGTGCTGCCGTGGGCTACTTTTGTTTAGTTTGTACTCTTGTTGACTGGTCTTAGGGCCCTTGCCTAAGAGGTTGGACTAGTAGTGCCGCCTGAGCTGCGTGTCTCTTGCTTGGCACTGCCCCTTGTCTAGCATAGGGGGTGTGTCAACTTATACATATGCATTGTATGAAGAAGTTATAGGCTACACAGGGTTGCATTCTTAGAGGATACAACCCAACCCTAAATCCCACTTGTACTGCATTTGTTTTTAGTTCAGTTCGCTAATCTAAGATTTTTCACAAGGGACCAAGAACACGTTAGCAAATGCGCTCCAGTGTGAAGGCTTTGAGAATATCAGCCTAAATTTTGAAAGCAACTCTGATTGATCAGCGCAAGTTTTTTAGGGAACCCTGAAAATACAACCTTTTTGAGGGGGGGGGACCTTGACGGATAAGGGTGGCTTATAACGAATCTGGGGGCCTGCTCCACAACCTCAATCTGATTTACGGTAACTTACTCTGGGCATGCCCACTACAGCAATCCCCAGGATGTACGAGTAGTACAATGCGCTGTACTTCATCCCCACGGTCGTTCATCTATGATTCAAGAGTCCTAATGCATTTGGCCATTTACCAAGCGGGCTATGACAGAACTCAGTCACTAGCCACTGAGTTAAACGGGCTTGTTAAGTAGCGGGTAAGTGCGCCCATAACCCCCACTGCGTTCATTATTAGATAGGCACTTAAGCGGTCGCCCTTCAGAAAAAAAATCCAAGGTGCTATTTTATATAACAAGACGCGTTGCCTAAAGCAAATTCGTAGAAAGCAATACAACTCAAGAGAGAAGACAGTATTACACATGTAGTTGTGACAACAGAAGCGCCTCGTGAGCCTAAAAAGCGCCTGAATAAGCCCGACACAACACTAACTAATAAAGGTAAAGATACTATAAGTAAATACATACTCAATTTTTGTTTTTACTTCACCCTAAGGGGCTACTTTAATTTTAACAATATTTTTTTATTTTAAAGCTTAAGCTCCTAAAAAATGAGCCTGAAGGTAAGTAAGCCTGACTATACCTTTAAGTTTGAGGAGTTAGCCCGAGGTCTCTAAAATTCACTTGATTTCCCCATCAAACGAAGAAGGTCAATATAACCGTATTCTTATGTCCGAAATTTATGTCCGAATTGAATTATAAATAAAACAAAATAAATAAAAATATCAGCAGAAAGAAAAATTCCGGCATGTGTGAAGAAAAAAAAAATGTCTGATGGCACGAAGCGTGCGAGTGCAATCTCGCGGTATGCTTTGCAACTTCTAACGAACCTTAAGGTTCGAAGAACGCTTGCGCTGCTTGTAGGCGGTGCGTCTAGCAACGGCTTACGCTCGCACGCTTCGTT